GAGTCTTGTAGGCAGCATATGTTAGGGGTCTTGTTTTCTTAACCAGTTAGCCACTCTATACTTTGGTTGGAGCACTTAATTCTTTTCCATTTGAGAGACTCGATAAGAATGTAGTTATTACCATTCTTTATTCCTATTTTTGATACATGCTTTTCTTCTTAAAGAAGTCCCTCCAACATTTCCTGTAATACTGGCTTGGTGGTGATAAATTCCTTTAGCTTATTTCTGTCTGGGAAGCTCTTTATCTGTCCTTTGACTCTAAATGATAGCTTTTCTGGACAAAATATTCTTGGTTGTAGATCCCGGGTCTCCATCACGTCGAATATTTTGTTCCAAGCCCTTTTTATAATTTCTTTTTATAATTTCTGTCTATTTAACTTCTTATTTTGTTCATGTATTACTTTCTGATTTTGTCCAATTGTCTTTCTATTTTTCCCCCTTTTTGAGTCTTTTAAAAATAGCAATCTTGAATTCTTTATCAGGTAAATCATAGATCTTTCTGTCTCTGGAGTCAGTTACTGGGAAATTATTATGTTCCTTCAGTGGTGTCATATTCTTTTTACCTTATAAGTTCTCACTTTTATGGCCTCATAATGAAACATAATAGTCTTATTTTCACCTCTTCCCATTTACCGATAATTTTTAAAAAGTTCAATAAACTCAACAAATGTTTTTTATTACCATTTTGAAGCTATGAAAATGGGCTGTGCAGTAATGACACCTAATTTTCCTAATCTCTCTTTCAAATATGCATCTCTTCAAAAGTATTGTAATTTTGTGTCAGCTTGGCTTGATTTTTCTTGGTGGATTCTTTCTTTTTTAAATGTATCCTCTTATTTCTCTAAAAAGATGAAGATGTGATGAAAGAAAAACACAGAAAAATGGTTCAAGATTTTTCTTTTCCAAACTCTGCCACAGCCGTGTTTTGTTGTTTTGTCACTCTCTGTTCCTCAGTTTCTTTAATGTAAAATAAGGACTTTGGATCTCAGTGATGCTTTATCAGGTTTGTAGCAAAGAATTTAAGATTGCTCTAAGAGAGGTCTGGTCTTTGGCTTCTGAGAGGTAGTCTCTAAGCCCTTAGCATATCATGCCTGATAGGAGTCTTTTTCCCCTTGGCATCTCGAGCCATATCAGGAAGTGTAACAGTGTGATTTAAGGTAGGAGCTTTAGGTTATGCAGTATCAACTCAAACCTAGAGGGTCTGGTTACTGAAATCATTAAAGAGACCTCCTCAGCTGCTTATATCTCAATATCAATATAATTTCATTTCTGCTCTGAATTCAGTGATTCAACAATCAGTGACTGATCTAGATTTGACAATGAACAAACCCTTTCTCAGTCTGTAGTACTCTCTGGTAATCATATTACATTTCCTAGTTTGTTCAGTCTTCTACTCTTTTAGTAAATTATTTCATCTCTCTTCACTTCTGAAACCCCCAGAGCCTTCTCCCATCTTCTAAATCGCAGCTCAAGACCTAGCTTTCTACTTCACTGAGAAAATTTTGGCAATCAGTAGAGAATTTTATCAACTTCCATAATTAACTCAGTTCTATTCTATGTTCTGGGTGAACTCTGAGCTCCTGTGAACCCAGCAAAGGATGACATCTTTGTTTTTACATTAGACTTAATGTTTTGCCTACTGAATGATCGATTTTCTCTTCTCCACTAGTTCTTTTATATTGTTTAAAAATGTGCTAAATTTTCCAATTATAAATATTGAAAGAAATTTCTCTTGATCTCGTTTTGACCTCTAGTGACCACATCTTTTTTTTTTTTTTTTGCTCCGCTTATTACTAAGCTCTTCAAATAATTTTTTATATATTTTCTCTTAAATTTCCGTCCTCTTATTCTCTCTTGAACCAGGTTTTTCCCTTTCCACTCTTCTGGAATTGCTTTAGCAATGGTCTTCAAAAAATTTCACATGCTAATTCATTGGTTATTTCCTGGTCTTTATTTTACTTGACTTATTAGCAACAGTTGATGTATGCTTTTAAGTGAGGTTTTAGGATACCACGTAACTTAGTTGTGTCTTAACTTTCCAGTCACTTCTTATTAGTCTATTATATTAGTTTTTCATTTCATTAATCTTCAAATATTCCTTTCTCCGGGGTTATAGTGGTTAATCCTAGAAATTTTATCTGTACTTATTTTCATGGAGATCTCATTCAATCTCATGTTTTTAAATGCCATCTAGAAGTTAACAATTCCAAATTTTTAATCTCCAGCTAGCAGCCTTCTCTTGAACTTTAGACAAATATCCAATGGTCTATTTGACATTTCCAATTAAATATCTAACTTAAGTTTGTCCAAACTGAATTCCTAACATGTACACTATTGCTAAATTTATACTTCCAAAGTTTTCACTACTTATTTAATGGCAACTCTATTTTTACAATTATCTGAACAACAACAACAAAAATACTTAGATCATCTCTGGCTTGAAAGGATGCAAGTCACATCTTTACTTTCTGTCACAGCAATGTTTTGGGCTCTACCTTCAAAATTAATTGAGAATTTAATTATTTTTCATCATACCTACTCTCACTATCATAGAGAGGAAGTCTCTCTGGAGTATCAGAATGACAGAAATTTAGAGAAAAAAAGAGATGTGAATTGTGTTGCTATGAACTGCATATAAGGATCACCTTAAATAGTTGGGAGATATATAGATCAAGATTTAAATTCTCATTTGGGGACTAAAATAATATAGATCACAACTTTTTTATATTTAATGATGATTTATTATCATTACTCTTTATAAATAATCAAACTTACAGCTAGTTTAGTAACTTGTCCAAGATTGAGGAGTCAATAGTAAATTCTGTATTATTAAAACTAGAAACACCTACAGAAATTTCTATTTTTTAGCTCAGCACTGAAATGAATTCAAAACCATAAAGTTTCAAATAAAATGTTTTCTGCTTAAGACAAATAATGTGTAGGATAAATGTTTCATTATTTTCCAACATTTATTGATTAATATCTACTATACTTTAAAGCCTGTTATGAATTTGAGGAGAGATAAAGGAAAAAGATATAATACTTCCTAAACCCTTATAGTTTACTAGAACTCTAGCTGTGGAAAAAGCATCTATAAAAGCCATAGCACAATGGAATATAATATAATGAGCAAGTATATATATAATATATAAGTATATATAATATAATGATGCTGCCAATACATCAGTGAGAGCTCTCAGACTGGGTATTTTGTACACTGTTCTTTGTCCCTACCTAACACACTAAATTGGGATATTGAGAAATGAAGTTTCTGGACATAGGTCTATTCCTGACAGTAGACATAAGCAAAAATTGGGTGTGTCTTTCCTCGTTTTTATAGTCCTGGTCAATTTTTTTCTCTACTCTCGGCACTTTTTCTTAATATAAGTATTGTCTGGTCAGTTTCAGGTGTTCAGAAGAGTAAATTTCCTCAGCCCTGTCAGTCATTGCCAATTATCACTTCATTTACCCACTATCAGACTGGAAAATTCCTCCCAGTTACAGCTGCTATAATTAAATTGTATTTCTATCCTTCCCAGTGAATGCTGTTGGCACTGTGGGGATCTTCTATTCTCATATCCATAAAAAGGTTGCTTTTCTTCATCTAATTTCTCCTACACAGATACAAATTCCACAAAGGTCTTTAAGTTCTTGGTGTCCCTCCCTTCGCCCCATCTATGTGGTTAAGGTATGCGGGAATATCTTGTCACCTAGTTTGTTGCAAACTTTTTATTGAGTTTTGGTTGTACTATTTAGCTGCTCTATTTTAACTTACTATGTTGCTGCTACTATGTTACTGCTGCCATCTCCAAAATACCCTTTCCTTAAAATTTTATTGTAAATCTTGAATGATTTTGTCTTATGTCTTATTGAATTCAACTTTTCAACTTGTTCTCATCCCTGGAGCTCTTGATATATTTCTTTCTTACATTCAAATCCTTGAATTTGATCCTTATATCTGATTCTTGATCCTACAGAAGTACAGATCTTGGCTATCCTTGTTGCTTGTGGATTCTACATGAGTTAAATATTTTTTTTGAGGTACACATCATTTTAATACCTGGTGGCTAAACGACACCTTTAAGGTAGAAATTCACATTAGCTTTAACAGATTTCCAAATTAAAAAAAAAAAAGGCAGTGATCTTGGGTTGGTAGTTAAGTTAATTTTAAAGAACATGATAATCAACAAATACGTAGAATATTGTTAAGAACCTTATAGAATATTGATAATGGGTTGATTTATGTTTTGCTTTTAGCTGATAAACAAAGTCTAGTCTCCATGTTCCTTTCCCAGCTTCGACATTACAGAGACTTATTGTGCTGTTTAGTCCTTAGATTGAAGCTGAAATAAAAGATTTTCATGCATTTTCTTACCCATCTAGAACTAAGTAAGAAAATGCTGAGCTAATGTTTTATGAATCTAAATTCTTTAGCCAAAGTTCAAATTGTTTTTAAACTCAGTTTAACAGTATTAGTATTAGCTAGTATTAGATTAATATGCCTTTTTGCATGAGCAGAATCTTGAGAGAAGAGAGGAAACACCAATGAGTATCTCCATGCTCTGCTGTAGCTCATGCATTCATTTCATACTTAGGTGTCCTGTTATTTAACATGATTATGACATTTAGACAATTGATAAGCCTATGGGTACTAATTTCCATGAATAAATTTTCTCATGAGTCATGGTTAAGCTGGAAAATGTTCATTTGTGTAAGCATAGGTGAACCATGACACACCAAAAGTGGTTCTAATTGTAGCAAACATGGTATCCATATGATGGTAAATTAGCACCAGATCTTGCCTCGACAAAAACATTTAGCTTAGAGAAAATAAGAAAGGTGTTACTTCATTCCATTGATACATAATTAGCACCTACAAAGGAAGATATCAACATTGGTTTATATGTTTATTTATTACAGAAGTTCTACTTATATTCCTATATCTCTGCATTGGTGCACACATGACTTCTTTGGTCAGAGGTACATCTTCCTTTCCAAGATTAATCCTCTTCATACAACCTCTCAATGCAGCAAATCTTATTTGGTGAGAAACATATATCAATTTGCTTTTCCTCTTTAAGACATTGTCTCCTACAGCGACCAAAACGTTTTGAGCACATATCAGGATCCACCAAGGTACATGTGGCTACAGTAAAAGAAGAGTAACTGAAATTACTGATCTCTTATTTAAGAACATATTATTTCTGATTACCAAAAGTACTATATACATTGTAACAAATTTGAAAAATATCAAAAAATAAGAAGACATTAAAAATATTATGTATCACTATATATATAAAATTGAAATTTGTTTTTGATTAATACTTGATTAAAGGTTATATATTACTCTTCTCAACAAAATTGAACATTGTTTTTAAAGCTACAAAATATTCCCTTGATATTCCAAGTGGCAATTTATTCGATCTTTTAGCTAAGTCATATTTAAAATTTTAACGTTTTAGAATTGTGGTAAGCAAATTTATATTTGATATTTTAATAATTATATGATACATATTTAGGTAGTTGTGAAAAAGATACATTCTAAGGTTCTTAACTACTGCCACCAACAATGTATATAAATTTTGCCCCCAAATAAAATGGTATTCATTCAATTTTAATTTTATGGCTTTGGTTATTTGTATTGAAGTTTTTCATTTTTTCTCTATTTAATTGTTTCAGTATTTTGCTTTTTATGTTATTGGTATAATGTTTTTATTGTTCATGAATTTTTTTAAGTTTTTAATTTTTTTTAATTTAATTTTTTAAGGCAGTTTAAGTTTACAACAAAATTGAGAAAAGGATACAGAGATTCTCCAAATATCTTCTTCCTCCACTCATACATGTTCCCCATTATCAACATCATTCACCAGAATGTTACATTTTTAACAAAGATAAGCCTACACTGACATATCATAATTATATAAATCCTATAGTTTACATTAAGGTTCACTCTTGATATTGTGCATTTTATGGGTGTGGGCAAATATATAATGACATACATATCATGCAGAGTTTAGTTATTGCCTTAAAAATTTGCACTGTACCTATTCATCTCTCCCCTAAATCATCTGGCAACCATTGCCTTTTTTTATTATCTTCATAGTTTTGCTTTTTTTAGGATATCATATAGTTGGAATCATACAGTACATAGCTTTTTCAGATTGATTTGTTTTCACTTATTAATGTGCACTTAAGATTTCTATATGTCCTTTAACTGCTTCATTGCTCATTTTTTTTAGTACTGAATAATATTCCATTGTTTATATGTACCATAGTTTATCCATTTACCTACTGAAGTACATCTTGGATGTTTCCAAATTTTGGAAATTATGAATACAGCTTCTATAAACATCCATTTGTAAGTTTTTATGTGGACATAAATTTTCACCTCCTTTGGGTAAATACTAAGGAGCACAATTGCTAGATCATATAATAAAGGTATGCTTAGTTTTGTTAAAAAAGTGCCAAACTGTATTCCAAATTGCTGTATCACTTTGCAAATCCACCAGCAAAGAGTATAAGAGTTGCTGTTGCTTTATGTCCTCACCAGAATTTGATGTCAGTATTCTGGATTTTGGCTATTCTAATAAGTGTGAAGTGGTATCTGACTATTGTTTTAATTTGCATTTCTCTGATGACATACGATGTGGAGCATCCTTTCATATGCTTACTTGCTATCTGCATATCTTGTTTGTGAGGCATCTGTTAAGGTCTTTGGTTCATTTTTTAATTGGGTTTTTTATTTTCTTATTGTTGAATTTTAAGAGTTTTTGTATATTGTGGATATTGATCTTTTATGATATGTGTCTGTTGCAACTATTTCTCCTAGTCTGCGATTGTCATTTCATTATCTTGGCAATGTCTTTTAAAGAGTAGAAGTTTTTAATTTACTGAAGTCCAGCTTATCAATTCTTTTTTTCATGAATTATACCTTTGGTGTTGTATCTAAAAAGTCATCACCATACACAAGGACATCTATGTTTCTACTATGCTATCTTCTAGGAGTTTTATAGTTTTGCATTTTACATTCAGGGCTATGATTGATTCTGAATCATTTTTTTGTGTAGAGTATAAAGTCTGTGACTAGATTTTTTTTTTTTTTTTGCATTAGGATGTCTAATTGTTCCAACTTCATTCGCTGAAGAGACTATATTTGCTCCACTGTATGACTTTTGTTCTTTTGTCAAAGATTAGTTGACTATATTTATGAGAGTATATTTGTGGGCTCTCTAACCTGTTTTGTGAATCTATTTATCCCTTTTTTCACCAATATCAATCTGTCTTGATTACTGTAGCTTTAAAGTAAGTTTAGAACTGACTTCTTGAAAATATTGAATCTTCCTATTCATGAATATAAAATTTCTGCTTTTTCAGGTCTTTAATTTCATTCATCATAATTTTGTAGATTTTTCTCATGTAGATCTTATACATATTTTGTAGATTTATACCTAAGTATTATATTTTGGAGGTGCTAATATATGGTATTATGTTTTTAATTTCAAATTCTACTTGATTATTATTGGTATATAGGAAATCAATTGGCATTTATATATTAACCTTGTATTCTACAATCTTGCTATATTTACTTATTTCTAGGAATTTTATTTGTCAATTCATTCATATTTTCTACATAGATAATCATGTCATCTGTGAACAATAACAGTTTTATGTCTACCTTCCCAATCTGTATACCCTTTATTTATTTTTCTGGCCTTATGTATTAGCAAGAACTTCTAGTATGATGTTTGAAAGAAGCAGTGAGAGGAAATATCCTTTCCTGTAGCTATTTTATGGAGAAAACTGTTTCTCACTATTAAGTATGTTGTTAGCTATAAGTTCTTTTTTTAAATTAAATTTATTGAGGGTCTCATTAATTAATGAAATTATATAGGTTTTAAATGTACAATTCCATAACATTCATCTATATATTGCACTGTGTGTTCTCCACCCAAAGTCAAATCTCTTTTTGCCACCATGTATTTGACTACCTTTACTCTTATTTACCTCCTCTCTATTCTACTCCACTTTTCCTCTGGTAATCACTAAGTGATAGGTTCTTTGTAGACAGTCTTTATCACTTTGAGAAAGAGCTTTTGTATTCCTATTTTACTGAGAGTTTTTATCATGAATAGATGTTGGATATTATCAAATAATTTTTCTACTTCTAATGATATAATTATGTGAGATTTTTTTTTTGATATGATGAATTACTTTAATTCTTTTTTAAACATTGAACTAGTCTTGCATACCTGGAAAATATCCCATTTGGTTGTGGTGTATAATTCTGTTTATGTATTATGGTTTTCATAGGTTAATATTTTTCTGAGGAATTTTGCATCTAAGTTTATAAAAGATAGTGGTCAGTAGTTTTCACAAAATACTTTTGTCTGGTTTTGGTATTATCATAATGCAGGTCTCATTGGATAATGAAATATTCCTTCCACTTCTATACTCTAAAAAAATTTTGGAGAATTGGTATACTTTCTTAATTGTTTGGTAGAATTTACCAATGAACCTATATGGGTTGGTGTTTTCTATTTTGGAAAGGTATCAATTATTGATTCAACTTTTTAAAAAGATATAGGCTTTTTCTTATTGCCTATTTCTTCTTATGTGAGTTTTTTCATATTTTGTCTTTCAAAGAATTGGGTCATTTCATATAGGTTATTAAATTTTTGACCTACAATTACTAATAGTATTCCTTCATTATCCTTTTAATTTCCATGGGATCTGTAGAAATGTCTCCTCTTCATTTCTGGTATTAATAATTCATGTCTGCTTTCTTATTTGCTTAGTCTGGCTAGAAACTTATCATTTTATTGATCTTTAAAAAACAAGCTTTTGATCGTACTGATTTTCTCTATTGGTTTCCTGTTTTCAATTTTAATGATTTCTGGTCTAATTCTTACCTTTCTTCTCTTCTACTTACTTTGGATTTAATTTGCTCTTTGTTTTTTAATTACCTAAGATGAAAAATTAGATTATTGATTTTTAGATCTTTCTTCTTTACTAATATATTCATAAAATGCTATAAATTTCCCTCTATGTACCACTTTCACTACATACTATAAATTTTAATAAGTTTTATTTTCATTTAGTTAAAAATATTTTTTGGTCTTTATTGAAATATAATAGACAATTAGTTGTTTGCATTTCCATTGTACAATTCAAAGAGTTTTTTTTCCCACTTATATTTGGCATGGAATAATATACCAGTTTCAGTTGTGTAGCATAGTAATCATAGAGATCCATATAACTCACATAGAGATCCATATAACTCGCAGAGTGATCACCGCACTAAATCTAGTACCCTTCTTCACCCTTACATATTTATTACAACATTATTAACCATCTTCCCCATGCTACATGCTACATCTCCATGTCTATTCTGCAACTATCCATTTGTACCTCTTAATTCCTTTGCCTTTTTTGTGTCCTCCAAACCCCCTCCCATCTAGTATGCCTCTAAATATTCTCTGTATCTATAAGTTTATTTCCACTTTTTTTACTGGTCTTGTTATTTATTTTGTTCTTCAGATTCCACATGTATGTGAAATCATGTGATATTTGTCTTTCTCTACCAGACCCATTTCATTCAGCTCAATGCCCTCTAGGTCCATCACGGCAATATCTTTTTCCATCCCTTTTCTTTTAGTCTGTGTGTGTGTCTTTAATCTGAAGTGAGTCTTATAGGCAGCATATGTTAGGGGTCTTGTTTTCTTATCCATTTAGCCACTCTATACTTTGGTTGGAGCACTTCATTCTTTTCCATTTGAGGGACTTGTCGATAAGAATGTAGTTATTACCATTCTTTATTCCTGTTTTTGATACATGCTTTTCTTCTTAAAGAAGTCCCTCCAACATTTCCTGTAATACTGGCTTGGTGGTGATAAATTCTTTTAGCTTATTTTTGTCTGGGAAGCTCTTTATCTGTCCTTCGACTCTAAATGATAGCTTTTCTGGACAAAATATTCTTGGTTGTAGATCCCGGGTCTCCATCACGTCAAATATTTTGTGCCAAGCCCTTCTGTCCTGCATAGTTTATTTTGAGAAATCAGCTGCCAGGTAACTAACTACTTTTCTCTTGCTGCTTTTAAGATTCTCTCTTTGCATTTAAACTTTGGCATTTTAATTATGATGTGTCTTGGTGTGGGCCTCTTTTGGTTCCTGGTTTTGGAAACTCTCTGCTCTTCCTGGGGTTGTATGTCTATTTCCTTCACCAGGTTAGGGAATTTTTCTATCATTATTTCTTCAAATATATATTCAACTTCTTGTTCTCCCTCTTCAGGTACCCCTATGAGATGGGTGTTTTTACCTTTAATCGTGTCCCATCCCATAGGCTCCTTAAATTATTATTATATCCTTGGCTTCTTTTTTCTTGCCATTCTGATTGAGTGTCCTTGGCTTTCCTGTCTTCTAGATAGGTCAGTTGATCCTCTTCTTTATTCACTTTGTTTATTCCATTTAATATACTTCTCATCTCAGATAATGTGTTCTTCATTTATGACTGGTTCCCTTTTATAATTTCTATTTGCATGTTTATGTTTTTTATCTCTTTATTGTTGTCACTGAATTCATCTGCACGTCCAATAAGTTAATTGAGCATCTTTATAACCAGTGTTTTGAACTCTGCATCTGTTAGATTGCTTTACTCCATTATTTCTGGATCTCTGTTCTGTTCTCTCATATGATTTCTGCTTCTTTGTCTTCCCATTTTTGCTGTGTTTCCGTGTCTGTCTTTCCATGTCTTAAGTTTCCCGGTCATATTAGCGTGGATTTGTGTGGTAGGTGTCCAGTGGCCCAGTCCTGAGAGGGGTTCAGTTGCAAGCCAAATGTAGTCCAAGCATCTGCCCCTCTGGGGCCACCTGTTAAGATTCATTAAGCAATCCACAGATACTGCATTTTTAGTTGCCTCCAAAGGCCACACCAGAAACTGAGGCCAGCTGTGTGAGTCTAGGTGCTGCTCAGCAAAGAGCTCCAGACTCGCTGAAGATGTACTTGGATGTGACTTGGGTGGAGCCACGAGTTGGGGGAGATGTGTTTCAGGGAACCCTCTGGGTGGAGCAACCTCTGTTACCCAGTTTGATGACTTCTCTGTTAAAGCAGCGTTGTGTCTGTCACACTGGGAAGAGGGGAGACTCAACAGGAAACAATGGATACTGCAGGCATTTCTGTACAGAGGGAATCTCACCTCAGCCCTCACTCTGACAACTCAGTGCTCCCCTGTAAGTCCCTGGTGCCCCTGCACGCAGCCAAAGTCACTGGTGCTCAGAGTGGGTTGGTCCGTCACCACAGAAGTTCACTCGCAGACGTGGCCCCTTTAAGGGGCATCTGCAGCTGCCACAACTATGGCCTCTGTCCCACTCAGCCACTAGGGATGGGGCAGCCTCACGTCCTTGTCTCAACCTACCTGCTGCCATTGCAGGGTGATTTCTTGGATTTCTCGAATTTCTCCCTAGTTGTATGGCTTGTTCCTTTAGATCCCAGGTGATTTTTCCTTGCTGTTTGCTCCTTGTTTCCGTCACAACTTTGATTTGGTCACCAAAAGGATGAACAGAGCCTCTATCATCTATGTCATTTTTTTTCCCACTCCCCCAAAATATTTTTAAATTTACATTGAGATTTCTTTTTTAACTCACATGTTAATGAATAATCTCCGTATATTTTGGGATATTTTCTATTTTAATTCCATTATGTTCTGACATGTATTGTAGAATTTCTATTCTTTAAAATTTTAAACGTGTTTTACGGTCCATTTGTGGTCTAATATAATCAAAATAGTTTTCATTCATTGCAAATTTATGTGTCAGGTATTGTTTTAAATGTTTTGCATACGTTATCTCATTTAAATGTCATAAAGGTTTGAGCTAGTTGCTGTTCAGATAGATACCTGAAGCTTTAAGTGACCAAATAATTTTTCCCTAGTTTGTAAAATTAGTACATGCTTAACCCAGAATTCAATCCTAGATTATTCAAGTCCAGAATCCACACTTGAATATTTAACCCATGGCCTCTACATTAAAAAATCGGACATTTACACATGAAAAGCACTCTGTAGGTATCTGGATATTGCTTTAAATTAGATACTGTTTATGGTAGATTTGGCTGTGTCTAGGAGTCTTAATTAATTTACAACTACAGAAGAAAGTGAAGATGTGAAAAATAAAAGTTGAATGTTTTGTGAATGACAATTTATAAGATAGAATTCTATTAAAATGGATATATAATAGATACATATAATAGATATAGATGTATATAATACATATATAAAGAATCATGAGTAATATATACTTGATAATGTACTCTATATATGATTAGTAAATGGTGTTCTGGACTGCAAACTAAATGTAGGAAAAATTTTACTTTAGGCAAATTTAAATAAAATAATTCTAGCCACTCTATTTGAAATTACTTGTCAATTTCCTTCACTTTAATACAGCTTAAAGTTGGTTGATAATTGAGAATTTAATATCAATTTCTGTTTCCCTTCTCTTATCTACCTCTTATTCAGATTTTAGAATTAAATCTTTTTCTTTTCTATTCCTGAAGCATTGTCAGTTTGGCAAGGGTTATACTTATCTCATGCTATGGCTGGCACCTGAATCTCTACTATTGAGATTTCCTATGAATTAATAGTACCATCATGTAAAGGTCATAATAGGTCATAAATGGTTTTAAAATATTAATATCTGTTTCCTTTGTTTCTTAATTATTCAAAACTGTTTAAAGGGTTTAAAAATTAAGACTATTTAAAGGTATAATTCTTTAAATCAGGTGGGTAAATATATGGAAAGAAATTACAATTAATTTGTTACCCTTAACTAATACAATTAATTAATACAAACTAATCATTGCCACAAGAGTAGCATAGTGTTTATTTGTCATAGCACATCTTTCTGGATTGATCGAGAAGCTATTTAACTAATCAATAAAATCCTGGTCAATTTGAAAAGTGTATTTATTTTTATGGGCCCCACTCTTCCAACATTTTATCATATTTCTCAAGTAACCAAATTGCCTTGGTGACTGACTCACCTTGATTTTAAATTTAATAAAACCTAGAACATCAGGACTGATACTGTCTTGTTGCCAATATTTCAACACAAGTGAATGTTTCTTCTTCACTATTTTAGACTCAGCTGTCATTCACCACACAATATATCATAAAGCTGCCAACACCACTGTATACCTGCCATCTTCCCTGGGGGGAATTTTATGGAGTAGTCTGAGACATCTTAAAAACTGGCTACAACTTAAGAACTGGCTATACAGGAATACCCTGTATTCCTCCACTTCTATTTTCTCTCTTCTTTTTCTTTCTACTTCTATTTCTCTGCTTTCATTTCTTGAAATATTGTAACATGATATTCAATATGATAAACACTTTATTTACATTATTTCTTTTAATCTTTGCACAAGCTTATAATATTACTGATATTACCATCCATTGTTGAGGTAAGAGAATTAAAGATTCCTCCACAACTACAAAGGAGCCCCAGCTTCTTAATATAAACCTTGTTCTATTTGATGGCAAGTTCATTCTACAAACCACTATAGTATGCTGTTTTCACTATCTCTATGGGTTATCTTATGATTATACTTCCTTAAAATATAGCACATTCTTTCATGCTCTAACCATCATCAGCATTGATTTCTATCAATTTTCTACCATTGGTCTCTTCAGCATGTTATTATTCTGTTTGGACCAAACACTCATCTCACATCTTCATAAGAAAATATATTTTTATTGCATCTTTTGTGACTTTAAGGTTTTATCAACTGCCAAACCACACCATTGTGCAACTGATATATGCTGTTCTTTGAACTCCTTCAAAGCCACCCACTCTGACATCTTGTATTACCCTTTCTGGTTTTTAATTTAAATTTTTGGTCAATCAAAGCCCCAATATAGAACATTCTATCCAACCCAGTAGACATTATTATAACTTAATATCTGTTTGAATAATCCAAAAACAAAGGGAAGCTTGTGGTCATATTCATAGTGTTACCATAGCCTTATTTAAAAGTTTTCTGCAATGCTCAGAAAATACGAAGTTTGATGATACATATGCTATACATCTGAAGTTCAGCTATTTTCCATGGGACCTTGCTATTTTGACTGAATTATCTCTTCAGTCTTTTCTTTGAACTCAGTGACTTCTATAGGAAGCATGATGAAGTATAAAGAACAAATATACTGGAATTTGAAAAACCTAGATTAGTATTCAATATATCACGCATAGTCACATAGGTGTGACTTTGAAAAATTATCTCCTTTAATGTAATTTTCCTCTTCTATAAAAAGAAGCAATAGCAGTCATCTCATACGGTTATTTAAAAGGTCAGATTAGATATCTATATTCATAAAAAGTTATGAAATGGTGTTTGGCACATACTGGACACATATTTATTTCTTGTCTTATGTTTATTTCTCTCACTTGCTAAGGTTTAAATACAAGTGACTTATCTCCAATTTCAAAGCTCTTGATCAAAAGATTCAGAACATTTTCCCATACCACCACCATTGCTATAATTTCACCATTCTTACTATTTAAAACATACTTATATAAAACTTTTAAATCAAGAAAATTTATTGACTTATCTGAGTTTGTTCAACTAAATTGTAAGTATGCCTAGAGAATTAATGTCCTTTATTTCTGTTTTCTCAGTGTCTAGCATTTTGCTCAACGCATTCAATGTTAGAGGGTTATTGATTGACACACCAGCATCATGTGCGCCAACACCTTCCCTAATCATACTTGAGGTCTTCACTTACTCAGGCCCCTTTTATTATTAATAATAACTATAACAATACAACAATTATAATAATAATAGTACCTATACTGATAGACTAATTTTCGGTTTGTAGGGCTACTTTCTAATATATCATTTCATTAAATCCTAATGGCAGTTTGAGGTATATATAATTAACAAGCACAAAATTTTATATTAAAGTTTTTATTTTTTTAAATTGTGGTTGTTATTAATTCTGCTTGTATTCCCTTTGTTTTTTGTTAAAAATGTTGACAAATCACTTAAATTCTCTGGGTCACAAGGTTCACAAGCTATTGTAGGAAACTAAAATCTAAATTTTCTAAATTTGAATTTGTTTCTATTTCTAATACATATTGCACCTCTTGAATTTTTAACTCTAGGACCAAGTTAGAACGCTTTTGGATATAAATTTACATCTCCATTGCTAGATAGTCCGAATTGACTCAGAGGCTACATCTATAAAAAGTATTATACAATCACCATCGAGGGCTTCATTGCAGTACATTTTTTGATAATTTATTTTGATTGATTTATAAAGCCATTAATTTGTTCCAATATTAATGCATTAACCAGTTCAACAAGGATTTTCAAAGTACTATTTTTTTACTTGTCTCATTATCCCTCATTGCCCAGTATATTCTGAGACTATATTCTAAATCATCTATTATTGATATCCTAAGAGATATATACTCTTGTTCGCAGTCCATTCATCTTCCTTGGGGAAAATTTATTATGAAGCCTTTAATTCTGAATTCTATAAATTTAATAAATTATGATTTTCTTAATAATTTGTATATCTAAAAAAAATCAAGACCCCAAAAAGACAAAGGATCATTTCGTTTTATCTGCATATTAATTTTCAAAATGAGGTTAGTAAAATACATTAGTATAACAGTATTCCCAATGAGGAAACCAAGATTCAACATAATGAAGAGACATTCTTAATTGAAAAGATTGTGTTAAGAACCCGCATTTTCCAGTTCATAATCTAGTATTTCTACTTTTAGTTAGAAGCTATATGCTACATACAAACATGCCAAAAGCATCTTTTACCTGGTGTAATGAAAGTCACATAACACAGAAAATGGAGGAGGTAATAAAAGATCTTCATTCTGTAGAAAGAAGCTGTTGAAAGATTTGGTAACAAAATCTGGAGACTAGAGCACTTTCCAAAAAGCCAAGAGATATTTACTATTTATAGTTTTCTAATGAAAGAAAGTCTCTTTATCCGGAACTTGTTTTATTTTTGTGTACGTAATCTCTGCTCCATTGACTAGGACTGTGGGCAGAATTACACAAATTAAAAACACTTAAAATTAATTGATCTTTAGGGAGTATTCTCTATATACAAGATAGCTATAAACACAACATCCTTGTATCAGTAGTGATTGATTAAACATCAACATAAAGGGGAATGCAAGGAGTGAGTTTAAGAGAAATATCTATTTATCATTTTAGATGTAAACCACCTGAACGTTACCATGTCAGTTAAACTCCTGGTTACTTTTCAAAATATATTCTAGTCATTAATATGGTACATAAATGTATCAATATGTCCATATATCCAAAATCTTCATTTGTATAGCTAGTTATCCCATTAGTTTTCTCAAATTATTCATTTATCAAAGTCCAGATATTCAAAGTGTCACTTTTGTCACTAATTTTATTACCTTTTTAAAAATGTAACTTGAATATTTATGGAGCTCTACATTTTTTCTAGAAAAGCCCAATTAGTCTGTATTTAGTTTAAATTTTTATCACAGTAATATATGCACACAATAAATATTGAAAAAAAAAACTCTTGTAATGAATAGAAATCATTTTCCACCTCGATTTCCCAATTTCAAGTTTTTTAAAATTACTATTAGCATAAAAATTAGAATCCAGCTTATATTTTGTTTTTGCTTGACAACCAGACTATATCTTTGGGTTTCCAGTGTAAGAAATACAGATTTAGATCACTTACACTCTCTGCTGTGGTATCCTTAAATATTTGAAAGTTATATTAATATTTTAAAATTCCTCTAAGTTATCTTCACTTGATCTAAGCCAAAAGGCTAAGAAGAGATTGTAAGTTATACTCAAACTTTTAAATACTTCTTTTTTTCCACCAACTTTGGTCACAACATTAACCCTTCTCTACTTAAAATGAAAATATCAGCCCTCCTGCCATTCATTCCAACATTCTTCTCCCTTTTCACGCCTCATTTACTTGTTACGTACTTCCTTTTATCTTGTCTAGGATTATTTTTGCACTTTCTGTGTAATCAGAATTGAGACACTCATGTTGTATATTTAAGGATTGTAATACAGCAAGTTGTATGAAATGCATTGCCTGTTTTTATGTGTCTAATATGACAACACATGCTAATCAAAGATAGGTGTCCTTGGTTTCAAAGTCAAGTGGATTATTTTACTATTATTATTATTTTACTATTATTTGTGACAATTTGTGACTGTCTACTTTTACTTATAATATTTTCAAGGTTTATCTATGTTGTAGCATGAATCAATAATATTCTATTATATGAATGTAGGCCACATGACATTTATCAATTCATCAGTCTCTGAACATTTAGATTGTTTCTACCTTTTGGCTATTATCAGTAATGCTGCTGTGAATATTTGTGTACAAGTTTTTGCATTGACATATGTTTTCATTTCTCCTACACATACGAGGTTGCCTAAGTATGGAGTTGCAGAGTCAAATGAAAACTCCATTCTTAACTTTTTCAGGTATGGTCAGATTGCTTTGCAAAGTGTTTGCATCAATTTATATTCCTACCAACAGTGTATGCAAGTTCCAATTTCTTCATACCCTCACCAATATTTGTTAATGTCTGTTGTTTTCATTATAGTTCTCTTAGTGGGAGGGAAATGGAAACTCATGGTGCCATTGATTTGCATTTATTCCCTTGATGGCTATTGAGGTTAAACATCTTTCTGGTTGTTGAACATTTGCATACCTTCTTTGCAGAAATATATATCCAATTCCTTTGTCTATTTTATAATTAGGTTATGTGACTTTTATTATTAGGTAGTAGATATTCATTATGTATTCAGAGCTACCTTGATTTGGAAACTGCTAGTTTTAAGGCTACTGTAGAACTAAGGGGAGTTGGACAGTAATAGGCAGTTAAAATGCCACAAAGCTAGCTGTTCTTATTGAAAATCAGCATTTTTTCTTGAATAAATTCTCCTTGGATTTGTGCAAGTCTGTGGTTAATTTGCAGAGCTCTTAAAAAGTCAGTTAATTTTGTCAATTCTTGCCAGTTTTTTTATTGCTTTTATGAAGAACAGATTTTTGGAGTTCTTTGCTTCATCATTTCAGAAGTCCTGCCTATGACTTATTATGTATTTTTCTTTTTCTCTTTTTTTTTTTTTAACTTTTATAGTTTGGAAGTAATAGACACTTTTGGTTAATATTGCTGTGCAACAAATTATGCTGAAACTTGATGGTTTAAAATAAAATCTATTTTACTATGCTCATTAATTCTGTGGGTCAAAAATTAACACAAAGCAGAGTGGGAATGGATTACCTCTTTTCTTTCATGTTTGGGACCTCATTGGCTACCTGCTTCTTCTTATTCTCTTTTGTAGAATCTAATTTTTCTTGACATAGTTTAAATGTTATTCCTTGAGATTTTAGACTTGTTTCTTTCTTCCCAATCTGTATCCTTTCTTTGGGTGATTTTATCTCATTGCTTCAGTCAATGGCTCCTTAAATCTATATTTATAGCACATTTTCCATTTCTGAACTTTACTCATATAGATAGCAGAGAAGTTTAAACTCAACATGTCCTAAATGTTCTTTTCAAATCTACACTTCTTACTATACTCTCTAATGAATGATTGTTTTGTTCAGCAACTTTTTTTTTCAAATAAGACAATTAAATTGGAAATTATCCTTCCCTCTTATGCTCCCAATTCACTGAACATCTTTTATTTCCTGTAATCAGAATGCTGATCTAAGTTTTTATATTGTTCAAATCTGTAGTTATACATAGAAAAAAAATTCATTCAATGGAGACTTTAAATTCTGAATGTCGAACATTTACTAATGGAAAGCTTTATAATTCATAAGAAAGTTTATATTAACATTAATTCAATATTATGATAGAATTAGTGTGGACTGTGGAAAAATGAAAACACAATGAGTTCATTGGAAACAGGAACAAGGATGGAAGCATTAAATATTTAATTATAAGACGAAGGAGTTAAATGAAATGCTTAAGGACCAGGAGAGAAGACTCTTGGATTGGCTGCCTATGTTCAGAATTATGGTAGGTAGTTCTAGGTGGTAAAATTCAAAACAATTTTTCTTTTTCTTTTTTGACATTTCCAAATTTTCTTGTTATTTTATCAGAAAAATACCTTTAAAACATTTTTAACTTGCTTTTATCCTCATCACATATTGCTCACTGTTAAGCTTTGATTGCTTTTTCTCACATGATTGATACTGACTTATTATGTGATTAAGATGTATATAACTTTGTGTCCAAGACCCACGTACATTTTTACTGAAACAGGGAAAGGTAGCATAAACTGTGATTGATGATTGATACCTAAAAGATCATATGAAAATAATTCGGCTATTGCATAGGGCAGATAAATAGGCCAGAAGTAAAGAGAAGTATTAAGGATGGAGGATGTTTGTAACATGAGTGGAAGATAACTTCTGCCAATTTAATGAAGAGGCTATTTATTTCTCTTCTTTATTTCTCTTGTGCTATCCCAACATTGAACTCATTAGCCATCATGATATAGTTATGAAATCCAGAAGGCCAGAGGAGGCGCCCGTTAAAATAAATTTATAGAAAGTTTGTTTTTATTAAGAGTATTGTTACAGTGTAGTGTTGTATGGTGTAGTATAATTATAATTTACATCTGTATAAGCTGTAGCAGTATCGTATTTAGCGTCTGGCTTTCTGTATTCCCGTATAACACAGCAAGGCTTAATATCGCAGTGATTATATACGTATTCCCAGGTGTTGCATGAAGTCTTGCAAACACCACGAACAAGGTAACATTCTGTTTTTCTCTGTGTAATTTCTCTTGTTTTTTCTCTTGTTCTCCTCTGTAAAACTAGGAAAAAGTAGCTCTGATCATAAATCCAGATTTAATCCCCTTGTGCAAATAAACAAATAGACAGTTAGATAGATAGATGAGTAAATAAAGTTATTTAAAATATAGAAATAAACTATTTTGTTTTTCAAATCATACCCAGGCAACTGTATTAAAAAGTTGAGGTTCAATCCCCTAAAAACTGGTGTAACTACTTATTTATCCAACAATATTTTCTTTGACACTGGCGTTGTTTTTGCTAAATAGAATATCCTTAAATGTCTAATCTGTGCATGCTTCCTCAAGTGTCAAAGAAAAAGATATGAAAAAAATAGTCTATGTGATCTGTGTTCTAAATGGACATCCACCTCCAACATCCCTCCCCCACACCACAAATTACTCTGCTAGTTATAAAAAGCTTAATTTTGACAACAGCTACAATATTAGTTCATTATATTACATTTAAAAAGAGAAAGCAGTAAGAATCACCTAAGTAGTCATAGTCTTATCGAACAAAACAACAAATAGGTTTAATTCTACATCTTGGTAATTACCTCTGCCCCCTTTATCTTCTCAAGTATCAGTTTCACTCATTTCTTCTTCTATGCAAAATAGAGTGAATTGTTCATATGGAGTCTCCTAACAATAATTGATTTGTTTTTCCAGAGGAAAGCATTTATTAAAAAAACATTTTGTCCTTCCCTCCTTTCCCTATTAACAAGCATTACCTGATGGACCACAAGACACAGTGAAGAAAAAGGTCAGGAAAATACAAAGTATCTTCATTGCTGACATAGTTACTTGAATGAAGTTGAGGCACAGCTCAAAATATCTGAGAGTTGTGCTATTCTTTGACAAAAGAGAGGTGACCTCTTATTTTTATAGCCTTCTCAGAGTTATTACTATTCTGATTAATGCCGCCTTTCAAGATTGAGACAATATTCCTGTTAAGTATTTTGAAATAGTAACAAGCAGATTAGAGGATTTAGTTGTTATGACCTCAGTGATCCAAATGTGAACTCATTTGCAGATATACAAGCAAATAATAAGGTTAAAGTCTTATTTAATTCTTTAACTAAAAGCACATAATCAGCATCCTCACCATGTTAAGCCACGTGCTTTTTCAAGCATTTATTATATGCTAGACAATGTTCTAAGCACTTTATGTAGATTAACTAGTTTAATCCTCATGACAATTTCTATGACACAGGAACTTCTTATTTTCCATCTGAGGAAACTGTGGCACAGAAGGACTATATATTTGCCTTAGATCATACATGTAGTGATTAGTAGAGCTGACATGGACTCTAAGGTAATGTGATGCCAGAGTCCATCTTCTTAATCTCAACCTTCTTCACTCTCTTAAATGAGTATTGGTTGTTCAACATGTGAAGTTATTCTCTGTACACATGGCCTGAACCAGACACTGTTTCTGGAACTCAATTTTTCCACAAACAGAAAGTATTTCTAGAACATAGTTCTGGTACTGTCATATTGAAATTTTTTATAGTTATTCTGTAAGAATAATCAGTATAATTCTTTATATACCATGTAATAACTCAGTCATAGGGTTATCTCATTCATAGGGGAAAGCAGTGTATTAAAAGTTGAAAGAGCCCTGGATTTAGATACAGAAAACTAATCTTGAGATCTGGCTCCTCTGTTTATTAGCTGTTTATTTGGGATTAATATTCATTAATGAGAGCCTCAAGATTCTCTCCTTAAAGACTGGATGGGTAGGTCCAGCCATACTTAGAGCTTTATGGTAACAATTGAATAGATGGTATATATGAAAAGTAAGTGATAAGTAATTAACACATAAACACAAACAATTTGGACTGATATGAAAGCCCAAAAAGATGTATCCTTACAACTTAATGATCTGTGTTCTAACTCCGTCACTGAGGAAAAACAAATTATAAAGGTATTCTATAATTTTAGTTTTAAAAGCAGTAATCTGGACTTCCTATTACTTCTCTGCTTTATTTCCTATCCAAAGGTGCCTGTATATTCTTAACCAAACAATGGAAAATCTATTTTCTCAATATCTTCTTTCTAAAAACACCAAAAGAAACTTTTAAACTGCTGGAGATTTAATAAGACCTCTTATATATAAGCAGAGAAAAATAGCATTTTATGTAGATTAACTAGTTTAATTTTTTAGAAAATTAAAAGGCTGGGCATTAACATAGTGATGATATAGATAAGAAGATGACGTAGAACAAAATGACCCATTTTTGCTTTACTGTAGCTGTGTTCGTGTCATCTAAAATAAGCTATTTCCATCAGCTAAAGATTTATAAAATGCATTATCTTTTCCTTTTTTGCTTAAATGTGAGGTTGAAACTAGTGACACCTGAATCACACAGTACAAAGATAGGTGATTATCATCTCAAATCTCCCAAGGAAGCAACACAAGTAGAACCAAACTAGATCTATAGAAGAGAAGTTAATATATTGATTTATTGCTTAAAATTGATATCTTTGAGCTTAATTTCAGAGATCCAGATTCTAGATTTCTATTAATAAAAACTTTTTTTTTCCCAGAGGAAAAAGTCCATTGTCAGAGCCCACATTCTTAATGATTATTATTACTACATACCCAAGTCACCTGAAATGATTGTCTTACAGTTCCAAAGGAATGTATAATAATGAAAGCATGTGGTTTCTAAGGTAAAAGAAATGTTATAATTCATTTGTTCTTACACTTTACCTTTATATTTACAGGTGAGGGATGCTTCTTAAGTAGACTTAGAAGAGAAATCACTTCTGAGAGATTCTGCTTTTAGGAGAATCTAGAGAAATCTGGGAGAATAGTGGAAAGTAATCTTTCTTTTTATCCCAATAAATATTTTTTTTCTAATATAGCCAGAATCTTCCTTGACATTCTAAAGAATAGATGAAACTATTGCATATTGTATATTTTCAATGAGAGTAAATAAAAAACAATTTCTCTGTGAAATTCTAGAGAGACTAGTTGCTCTTATTCTGTATTAAGCCATAAATGGGTGTTAAAAACAATGATATAAACCTTGAATTTTAAACCATCCTTAGATAACTATTAAAATGTATGATCTGGTGGAAAATGTTGTTCAACATCTGTTGGCTTATGTGTTTTGTCTTGATTTTGGTGACAAATTTTATAGTTTATGAAATGTGTTTTTCTATGATCCTATTACTTGTGAAAAACTTACACATAAAAGAATTGATCCTGAGCAATTTGCTGACATTTATACCACACCACATTGCAGTGTGAAACTTACCTGACTAATCAATACTACTACTAGTTTTATAATCATAGTAATTTAAAATAACAATCGATATGTTTATTTAACTATTTCTGTTTCAATAATTACCTGGTCCAGTATGTGAGAAGATGTCTACCTCCTGCATTTTCAAGTCTCCTTGAGCTCTGGGCTATAGATTTTGGTTGCAAGTGAAGGATAGGTAGTAGGAAAGAGGAAGCGAGGATAAAGGGAGAGACAATGAAGTGTACACATTAATAAATGGTGAGAGAGAATGTAAGAGAAAGCCATAGCAAAGTAGGCAGGGCCCATTAGAGTTTTACCTTTTTATACAACGTCTTAGAAATATTAATCTTAAAATATCTCCATTAACCATTGCTTAATAGATGTTTAAGCAACATCTATTTAATAATATATATTCTTATTGTTACTGAGTCATCTCCTAATATGTTTGTTTGTTAAACCATCACTTAAGTTGGTGGTTTGCGGAAAAATGGAATTATGTAACTATCAAAATACATTTATTACCTTTTGGTATTACATATCAGTGAGCCATCTCAATCTAAGGAAATTAATGGGGTGATCAAAGTATTGTTTTAATTTTGAAAATAATGTTGCTTATCTTTTGTGATACATGTTATTATTTGCCTCCTCTTAAGTCTGACTGAATTTTAATTTATGAATTATTAATTCAATAGTTATTAAACATTTATTTCACATCTTTTGCATGTGAAACTTTACGCAAATGAAGACTCATGTTCTCACTCAATACAAGTTACTTTAACATTGTCCAACTTTAATCTTCCCTTTTCTTCAACACATTTTGGCTGTGTGTGTGTGTGTGTGTGCGTGTGTTTGTGTGTGTGTGTGAGAGAGAGAGAGGTGATATTTAGGCACCTTATTAAGCATTTCAATTACATTACTTCTTTCAAGTTGTGATCCTTCACTGTTTACCCAGAATCACAGTTGATTTTGTAGTTGTTGTTGTTGTAATTCTGGTCTCTTCCACTCTGTGTCATCAGAGAATATTTCGAAGGGATTTTTTGTGTGTGTGATTATTCTAATAACAGTAATCCTTGCTTCATTAATTAATTAATTAATTAATTTTTTTGGTGTTTCACATTTGTCTTTATTTGAAATAAGCTTCGTTCATTATTGGCTTTTTATTATTTCTTCAAATAGTTTGATATTATTATTATTGCTACTATTATTATTAATTGCCTCATCTCATTAGATGTGCAAACTCCATGAAGGCAAGAGTTTTGACAATTTTACATCAGAGCCTCAGAAATAAGTATTTAATACCTACTTACCGAATGCAGGTTGATATAAAGTTATAATAGCAATCGTAGTACCCATCATTTACCTACAAAAATTGAGAAAATGACACTTCTGAGAAAGTGGATATCAAAATACACAATTTAGTTTTTAATTCTAAGGGATAAGAGATCAATTCATAAAAAGTTGTTATCTCATTAAGCATAATACCCTCTAAGTTTATCCACATTGTAGAAAATTATAAGATTTTATTTTATTTTTTTTATGGCTGAGTAATATTTCATGAGGGTATTATGTTAAGCAAAATTAGTCAAACAGAGAAATACACATACCATATGATTTTGCTTATATGTAGAATCTAAAAAATAAAATAAACAAGCAAAAATGAACTCAGATACAGAAAACAAGCTGATGGTTGCCAGATGGGATAGAGGAAGGGAGGGATGCGTGAAAGGGGGAAGAGATTGAGAAGTATGAATTGGCAGTTACAAAACAGTCACTCATATTGTAATTACTATGTATGGAGTAAGGTGGCTAGACTTATCAGAGGATCATTTCATAAGTTATATAAGTGTCTAACCACTCTGCTGTATGCCTGAAACTAATACAAAATTGAATATCAAATATAACTGAAAAAAATTTTTTTAACTGCCAAAAAGAAAAGAGTTGTTATCCATTATTTGCGTATGAATTATGATGAGGAAGAATAATCTTCTGTCTTCCTAAAAAGTAATTTAAAAAGTAATTATGATTTTCCACTCTAAATACGGCTTGCGTAGAGGATAGTGATGAGAGAACTGTCCTGACAGGGTGTATAGACTGTATACCACGCGTATTCTTCATGATTCCATTTTCTATTTTTATTTTTTATATTTACTAAAAGCTTGGTTCTGCCTAGATGTTCAATAAGTAATAGCAAGTGTTTATTGAACATTTACTACATATCGGTTATTACCTGAACACTTTATACTAATTATTGCAATTAAACATAACAATAACTTATGAAGTATATATAAGTTTTATTGTCATCATTGCACAATGAGGTAAACGAGGCTTAGAAGTATTCAGTTAATAACATGTTCGAAGTCACTGTATACTGGTAATTATTTTTGCTGACATTAGACCTCAAAGCAGCCTGATGCTTGAACCCATGTTCTTATCCACTACACCAGAATCAATGAATTTATGAATGGACTAATTTCTGAAAGACAATAATGAGTTTTTCTAATTTCTTTGTCTTTTTTTAATAGCACAGCACAAAAG